CAGCTATAGGACAATGTTCAACCCTGGCTGAACTCTGGCACAGTTCCTCCTCTTCTCCAAACACTCTTTACCAAGGAAGTTAGTGTTTTAAAATATAGTATTACTTGAAAGTCACATATTTTTAAAAAATACAGATTCCCAGCTTCAACTTAAAAAACTGTTGCAGCAGGTCAAAGTTGGGTTTCATGAATGTGCATTTGAAACCACAGCTGATATATCTGAAGATCACTAGCCAACCACCCTCAATCAGAAATACTGAATATGCAGAGCTGGCAGGTAGAGAGAGATGTTGGAAGTTGAAGTCAGGGCTGGGATGTGATTTGGCAGTCATTTGTCTGTAGGTGAATTAAAACCATGAATTGGATGGGAATATTCAAAGGAGGGTGCAAAGAGAGAAGAGTGGTGGGCCAAGTACACAAGGTCAAGGAGCAAGAGACCTTCTATAGAAGGAGACTACCAAGGATGTGGCTATAGGTGGACAAGGAAAATGGACAGCACCATTTTATAGAAGCCAAGGTGGTAAAGTTAACAAGGAGAGGTGCTCAATAGGACCAAATGAAACAAATGGCCAAGAACAGGAAGTCCAGTGAGAACAATGCTTATCACCAGCATAGTCTGTCTCAGGCTCTATGTTGTTTCTAGAAGGTAGGGTTATTTGTGACTGCATTCCCAGAACTTGGCATAGCATAAGCATCTAATAAATGTTTGCAAACTAAATTGGATGGGCAAGGCCTTTTGCCATACAAGAATTTTAAAGACCTCAGCTACAACTAGATTCCATCAGATACCCTCATTAGGATGAGCAAACATTATATGGATATAACAACCTGCAATGGAAAATTGGTTATAACCAGACTGATAAAGCAGTTATATGAGCCATCTGCTGAAACATGGTAATGATCTTTAAAAAAACTCCTACCCTGTTTGTATAGGACTGTATTTTTTACTAGTAATTAAAAAAAATAAAGCAAAGATCTATAAAACCTTTAATTTAGATTATGAATTTTTTTCATGCAAATGATTTCTCCTGATCATTTGTAGAAGTGTGTGTAGTCATGAGAACAGGGCACATTAAAGGAGGTAAATGACTCTCCAAGAATGCACATGTGTTAGTTGCTATGACGACAGCTGAGTTTTATTGGAGAGAGAGCAAAAAATCAATTAGAACCCATTGGAAGAACTTGCACAGGGGCATAAACTATTTCTGCCTCACAGTCTCAGGGACCTTCATCTGTAGCAGAATGGAAAGCATTTGTAGTGGCTGTTAGTGGGGTTGGTTCTATGGAAAGTCACCCTTTTGTTGTGTTTCCTCGGTTCTAATGAACCCTTCCATAACCTGATCTTCTCAATACCCAAGTAATTAGTTGCTGTGCTGAAAAAAAAATTAGCCAGTTTCCTGGCTCTTTTGTGCCAATCACATTGCACAGTTCTTGGCTTTGACCTATTTTTCTTTGAACAGTTTTCAGGTTTATTTATAGAGACAGATGACAAGTGTGCAGCAGTTTCTGCCCCCTTGTGGCATAAGTCTGGCTTCAAGAAAATGCAGGAAAGGAAGAGACAGTTTCAGGAAGCCACTCTGTCAACCTACTTCCCCTTTCCTTTCTCTCTTCCCTTGCGGATACACTATTTTCCATTCCTATCTTCCTAAAATACTAAGAGGACTAAGGAAAGGTAGTCAAGTTTTTCAGATTCTTCTCAACACTGTTAGAGTAATAGAATGGGGAGATGCCCAATGACAGAGGAGATAAAGGCTTAAGAGTAGCCACAGTGAGACCAAGCATCAGCTGCAGGTTTTTTCATGAGTGGCTTTAAGAATGTTTGGTGGAGGGGCTGGTGTTGTGATGTAGCAGGCAAAGTCACTGCCTACGATGCTGGCATCCTATATGGGCCCAGCTGCCCCATTTCCAATCTAGCTCCCTACTAATGGCCTAGGAAAAGCAGCAGAAAATGCTCAAGTGTCTGAGCTTCTGCCACGCATGCAGGAGACCCAGATGAAGCTCCTGGCTCCTGGCTTCAGCCTTGCCCAGCCCTGATTGTTGCAGGCATTTGGGAAGTGAACCAGTGGAAGAACTCTGTTTCTCCTTGTAACTTTCAAATAAGTAAAGCTTTTGCTCTCTCTCTCTCTTAAAGAAAGTTTTGTGAAAAGGTTCCTGTAGTCATCTAGTAACAGCTTTCAATGTAATGAGCTCACAGACTTTGTGGAGAAATGGCCAAGTTCATCATCTCAAAGTAGACTGCATAGTTCAGCTATGAGTTTACTCAGGGAGAGACTGAACCACTGATAGAGCCTCTGCCTTGCTATTCTGCAGCACACCACCAGCTGATCAATCCCAAAGCACCCTCAATTCATCAAAATATTTTTCAAGCTGTAGGTTGAGGCTCATTGGGTCTCAGCTTAGTGGATTGAGTTAGCAGGGAGAAACTTAGTGGATTGAGACCATAATTACAAGAAAATAAGATAGAAAATGGAGTGAATCTCATTTAGTAAAGGTCAAAGTGTTTCGTGAGACTTCTGTATTATTCTTTCTCTCTATATATGCGTATGCATGGGTTGCTAGATTGAGCGTATTTCTTACTGCAGGTCTTGGCCTAAAATTTGGAAGGTAAGACTGCTCAATGCTAAGAATTCCTCAACATTTTATGTAGTCTACAGAAAACAAGGAAGAAAAAAAAAAAGAAAAAATGGAAGAGGCAAACAAAAAAGAATTCTGGTGTCTTCACCTCCAGGTTTGGAACTGTTCTTCAAACCCACAATTGACTTCCGCAACTTTAAGTTAGGTTCTAACTTTTCTACTCACTGACTTTCAGTTTACAGTCCTTTCAGTGTCTGCATGTCACTGTACCTTAACTTGTAATGCCTCTCTACTCTTAGTAGTTTTTCATTTCTGCTCTTCTTTAAACACTACTCAAAGCCATATCTTTCCATTTAGCCTATATGATCTCCATCTCTTTTTATCACCCACCTCTTCCTAGCGGTACTACTCATTTCTACACATTCTGTCTCCAGGAATCATCTCCATGTTGCTCTGTATCTGTCTTCCATCCCATAGCTCTTGATGGTGATGTTATGTATACTTGTGTCTGCCTCTTTTTGTTTCTTTCCTCTTGGCATCTGCCTTCTAGCTCACCAATTCTTCACTGACCTGTTTTTGTTATTTTGTTATTCTGCTTTTCTGTGTATATTTCTAGTCCCACCACTTGATTTAGAGTAACTTGATTCTTGGGATTACTGACCATATTTTATGTATACCCCATGATGTCAGGCATAATGGAGGACATATAATAGATGCTCAACAAAAATGTATTGAATCAATCAATCATCCACTGCCCCTTTGTACTAAAATTCTTCCCTGGTCACTGTAGCATTTTCTCTTTAGAAGGGGGTGGTTAAAAAACTGGAATCAACCAATTCAATCCCATCAAGGTGGCATGTACCAATGCCATCTCACTAGTCCAAGTGATCAATTTCTGTTCACAATTGATCATAATGATAGGACTAAGAGTCAAAGGGATCACATAAACAAGACTAGTGTCTGCAAATACTAACTGATAGAATAAAAAAGGGAGAGAACGATCCAACATGGGAAGTGGGATACACAGCAGACTCATAGAATGGTGGATGTCCTAAACAGCACTCTGGCCTCAGAATCAGCCCTTAAGGCATGCGGATCCAGCTGAAAAGCCCATGAGAGTATTTAAGGCATGGGAAGCTAAGACACTCTGGGAAAAAAAAAAAAAAAAAAAAAAGTCACTGAAATGAAAGATCTCTGTGAGTGAGATCCCAGTGGAAAGAACAGGTCTTCAAAGAAGGAGGTACCTTTCTCTGAAGGGAGGAGAGAACTTCCACTCTGACTATGACCTTGTCTAAATATGATCAGAGTCAGTGAACTCAAGAGGCTTCCATAGCCTTGGCAACTCATGACAAGAGCCTAGGGTGATTACTGATGCCATAAACAAGAGTGTCAATTGGTTAAGTCAACAACAGGAGTCACTGTGCACTTACTCCTCATGTAGGATCTCTGTCCTTAATGTGCTGTACATTGTGATTTAATGCTATAATGAGTACTCAAACAGTATATTTCGCTTTGTGTTTCTATGTGGGTGCAAACTGTTGAAATCTTTACTTAATATATGCTAAACTGATCTTCTGTATATAAAGAGAATTGAAAATGAATCTTGATGTGAATGGAAGGGGGGAGGGAGAGGAAAAGGGGAGGGTTGCGGGTGGGAGGGACGTTATGGGGGGGAAGCCATTGTAATCCATAAGCTGTACTTTGGAAATTTATATTCATTAAATAAAAGTTAAAAAAAACTGGAATCAAAAGATAAGCTTATTTTGGTGTAAAAATTTGAAGTCCATGCAACATTTTTTTTTCATAACATGCATTTCCATGAACTCTTTGAAGACTCCCTAATATAACAGTTTGAAAAGGCTTCAAAACTTCTGAAATCTTTTCAAATCTTTTATCTACAAGGACCTAGCTATGTTGGCATAGATATGATACTCTTTCTTGAAGTATGAGGTGATTGAATTTCAAAGAATTTGTAACAGTAATATGGCTTATTAATGATATCCCTAGACCAGGAAATAAAATGTGACCCACCCTGAGCCATTACCCTCTTGCAGTGGAATCTTGAGAACAACAATTATCAACTAATAAAGTGCTCACTTAATATTCAATTTTATGTATGGAGGAAAGAGCAAGGAGGTAACAGACAAGGCATAACTTGTGTTTCTCATGCAATAAGAATTTGAACACCTTGTACTAAGAACAAGATCCTGGGTAACACTTTGTTTCTGTAACTGTGCTGGAATTCTAATGATGCCAGAGGAAGTAGGAGGAAGTACACTGACCATTTATAGAGAATATGTTGTCTTCCACTGTCAAGTTGAAAAGCTTTTCATTAAACTCCACTCTGACAACTGGCAGGGACTCTTTGTGATGTCACAAATAATTACCCAGATCTTTTTCTTATTAATTCATTAATTTCGTTCTTACCAAGCTGTTCTCCTAAACGCTGGCCTCTCTCGGTTGAGATGACACGCTCATCTTCCATGTCACACTTGTTTCCAACCAGAATAACCTGGGCATTATCCCAAGAGTATGTTTTGATTTGAGTTGACCTAAAAGAAAAAGAACAAACACAGAATGGTCAGAGGAAAGCAGAGCCGCACAAAGAGAGGAAGAAATAGATCCCACAGATGACAAAAACAGCAAAGAAGGAAGCCCAAATGCTTGACATTTAGAATTAATTAGTTCAGTGCAATTTTACCCTTTAGATACACAACAGGGATTGCATGAGTCAAAAACCAGGGAACAGTGGTGTATCAAGAATTCTTTCATATCATGAGATTGATACTGCTATGGCTTCTTCCTTTTCCTAGTTCTACTCCCTCCTTATAGAATGCCTTTGCAACTAGCATGTCCAACCATCCTGGATTGCCCAAGCCTTTCCTAGTTTTAGCAGTAAAAGTCTGATGTCCTGAGTAGTCCCTCACTTGCAGGCAAATAGATCTGTTTGGTCACTCTATGTACAACCTATCACAGAAAAACATCATTTTCCCTTATCACAATAACAACCTAAAGAACTTATACAATTGGGTTTTAGAAAATTTAGGGGCAATGATAGGTTTTAAAAAGAGATAATAAGAAGTAGTATATTCATGTCTTACATTTTTAAGAGAAAAATGCCAGGTTGATGAATATAAAAATTATACTACAATGGGCTTTTTTTTTTTTTAAGATTTCTTTATTTTTTTGAAAGGCAGAATTAGAGAGAGAGAGAGAGAGAGAAAGAGAGAGAGAGAAGTCAATCTTCCATCCATAGGTTCATTCCCCAAATGGCTGCAACTGTCAGAGCTGGGCCAATCCAAAGCCAGGAGCTTCTTCTGGGTCTCCCACGTGGGTGCAGGGACTCAAGTGCTTGGGCCATCTTCCACTGCTTTTTCGAGGCCATTAATAGGGAGCTGGATTGGAAGTGGAGCAGCTGGGACAAGAACCTGCACCCATGTGGGATGTTGGTGCCATAGGTGGTAGCTTTATCCATTATACCACAGTGCAAGCCTTGACATTTCTTTTTTTAAAGATTTCTTTTTTTAAGATTTCTTTATTTGAAAGGCAGAGTTACAGAGAGGTTAGGGGGAAGAGAGAGATAAAGAGATCTTCCATCCGCTGGTTCACTTCACAAATGACCGCAACAGCTGAAGCTGAGCCAATCCAAAGCCAGGAGCCAGGAGCTTCTTCCGGGTATCTCACGCAGATTCAGGGGCCCAAGGACTTGGGCCATCCTCTACTGCTTTCCCAAGTCATAGCAAAGAGCTGGATTGGAAGTGGAGTAGGCGGGACTCAAACCGGTGCCCATATTGGATGCCGGCACTGCAGGCAGTGGCTTTACCCACTACACCACAGAACCAGACCTTAAAGATTTCTTTGAAAGTCAAGGTTACAGAGAGGGAAGGAGAGATAGAAAGAGAAAGAGAGAAAGAGAAAGAGAGAGAGAGAGAGAGAGAGATCTTCCATCCATTTGTTTACTCCCTAGATGGCCACAATAGCCAGGGCTGGGCCAGGCCAAAGTCAGGAGCCAGGAGCTTCTTTGGGGTCTTCCACGTGGGTGATAGGGGCCCAAGCACTTGGGCCTTTCCCACTGCTTTTATCAGGCCATTAGCAGGGAGCTGGATTGGAAGTGGAGCAGCTGGGATTAAAAGTGGCGCCTACAAGGGATGCCGGTGTTGCAGGCAGCAGCTTTCCCTGCGATGCCAGAATGCTGTCCCAGGCCCGACATTTTAAGTTACTATAAATACAATGCTTAGGATTAAAAATAAACCTTCAGTATGGATCATGATGCAAATAACCAACTTTTGATTTTGAAATCCAATGAGATAATAATTAAAATAGCTATCATTTATAGGTATTATTCTAGTTGCTTTGTGTATGTTATATTAATTTAACCCCTAGAATAACTCCAGGGACTATTATTATCCCCTCTGTACAGCTGAGGAAAATGAGGATTAGAGAGGTGAAGTAATTTGATCACTCAGCTAGTAAAGTGACAGACCTGGCTATTACACCCAGGAGATGTGAGTCAAGCCTGCGCTCCTGTCCATGCTTCCAATTCTATTCATTAGAAGCTTGAGAAGTAGAGAGCAGGCATCTAGCCTTCTAGTTCAGAAGTCCATGTCCCCTCTTGGAGTGCCTGGGTTTGATTCCCGGCTCTGGCTCCTGACTCCAGCTTCCTCCTGAAGTGGACGTTGGGAAACAGGGGTAATGGCTCAAGTACTTGGGTTCCTCCCACCCAGGTGGGAGACTTGGATTGTGCTCCTGCTCCAACCTCAGCCCACTCCAGCCATTGTAGGCATTTGGGCAGTGAAACAGAAGACGGGATTTCTGTCTTTCTCTCTCCGTGTCTTTCAAATAAATAACATAAAGGAAAAAAGTTTGAAAAGTAAAGTTCTAATGTATGTATTGTCATCCAGAGAGAGAGCTGAGCAGAAGCCCTGTTACATTCTACTCTCCTTTTATATTATTTGAGAATGACAGCTTAATATAGGGGTGGAGAAACACATTGCCTAGTGGGCGATCAGGACGGAGACAGGGAAATACCGAAGAGCTAAGCAAATGATTAAAGTCTGAAGCAACAGATCTGTAATATGTGGAAAAGAGGAGCTTGGGAACGGTCTCGCTGGCAATTGTGAAGTCTTCTAGGATTATTGAAAGAAAAGCCATGATGAGCTGTTCTGCACTTGATGAGAGAATGAGGAGCAAATAGCTCTCAACTGCAGCAGGAGGGCTTTCAGTGTGATGCCAGGCTTGTTTGTTCCTCCAAAGGACAAGGAGAAAGAGAGAGAGGAAGAGGGAAAGAGCTAAGAGGCAGACGGTTTTATTTCAGAGTGTTCCCCCGAACAAAGTACAAGTTTGCAGATAAGATTAAAGTAGCTGGTGAACTAAAACCTTGGCTCCACCTGGACATCTCAGTGGCACAGAGTATTTTATCTGGAAAATCTGGGGAGGTGACCATTCTAAATCCTGATATCCAAGTTACTAATATATTCCTTTAGGAACTCTGAAATTTAACTTTCCTGGACTCCATACTTTTTCCTTACACATCTAAGTGTTAGAGGAGGAAGTGTAGGGGCCAGAAGGTGAGAGACCTGGGTTCCTGAGTTAGCTGAGGTCAAGAGCTTGCCTGAGGGCTGGCGCCGCGGCTCAATAGGCTAATCCTCCGCCTTGCGGCGCCGGCACACTGGGTTCTAGTCCCGGTTGAGGCGCCGGATTCTGTCCCGGTTGCCCCTCTTCCAGGCCAGCTCTCTGCTGTGGCCAGGGAGTGCAGTGGAGGATGGCCCAAGTGCTTGGGCCCTGCACCCCATGGGAGACCAGGAGAAGCACCTGGCTCCTGCCTTTGGATCAGCGCGGTGCGCCGGCTGCAGCGCGCCAGCCGCGGCGGCCATTGGAGGGTGAACCAACTGTCTTTCTCTTTCTCACTGTCCACTCTGCCTGTCAAAAAAAAGAAAAAAAGAAAAGAAAAAGAAAAGAAAAGAAAAGAGCTTGCCTGAGGACATTTAGCACCGCTCTGACGTGGGCAAACTCAGTGTATTGCACCCCTGACTATATATGCAGCCCAGAGCATACCTTTGTGACAGCCAGGAAGGGACACAATTCGGCATCTCTGGCTGACTTGTGTTCTTTCACATTGCGGTTGGAATGCTGACGTGGTAACTTGTGAGGCTTTAGGCTATCACAATAGGTTATTCATTTATGTATATTCAACACTCCCTGTTCCCTAGCACTCCATAAAAACATATGAAAATGATACTTTTTAACTATGAACCATATCAGAACTATTCTTCCTGTTTTCTTTCTTTTTAGAAAAAAAATTTTTAGTTTACATGAAAGTCAGAGTTACAGAGAGAGAGGGAAAGAGAGACAGAGGCGAGTTCTTCCATCTGCTGGTTCTCCTCGACCTCACCCCAGATGGCCACAATAGCCAGTGCTGAACCAGGAGCCAGGAGCTTCTTCCAGGTCTCCTACATGGCTAGCAGGGGCCCCAGCACTTAGGCCATCCTCTGCAGCTTTTCCCAGGTCATTAGCAGAGAGTTAGATTGGAAGTGGAGAGGCTGGGCCATAAACCGGCAGCATATGGGATGCTGGCATTGCAAGCGGTGGCTTTTATACACTTCGTCACAATGCAGGACCCTGTTCTTTTTTTTCATTATTACTTGTAATGACCTATTTTTCCAATTTTAAGAATTTTAATGTATTTTCGTTTTTTAATACTTGAAAGACAGGGATATTTCATCTGCTGGTTCACAATAACAGTCAGGGCTGGGCCTGGCTGAAGCCAGGAAACAGGAGCTTTTCACATGAATTTCCCATGTGGGGGCAGAGGTTCAATTACTTGAGCCATCATCTGCCATCTGCTAGGGTACACATTAGCAGGAAGCTGGATCAGAAGCAGAGCTGGGACTTGAATCCAGGCACTCTAACATGGGATGTGGGTGTCCCAAGCGATATCTAAAACACTGCACCAAATACTTTCCCCCATATGTTCTTATATAAAAAATATGTCAATGTAACCACTTCAAATATTCTAAATTGCCAAGGAAATCATGTAAAAATGAACTACAAGGGAATTATAAGGTCCTTATCTTGAAAGCTTAGAGAGGGAGTAGCAAACAGTTTTCTTTATAATGAAATAAAAATGTGGTCTGGAGCATTGGTGATGAGGTGAACAAAAGATCGATTTGCCATCTCAGTTGATTAATTTTATAACTGAAACTAGGGTTGCAAATGCTCAATGCTTGGCTTCAGTTTTGATGACCCTGGACTTCCTGATGTTGTTCTCTAATAACGGAGCAGGGAAGGCACAGTGGCCACAGTGCCACCACGAGCAGGAGGGGATCAGAACACTGCTGGTTGCTTCATGAATCACCACATATGAGCATCACAAATCCTAAGAAGCCATAAGTTATAAGATAAAAATTATTTTATGATGGCCAAGAATTAAAAGATGTAGCAAATTAAACTGTGGCATAATACTTTAACCTTGGTCCTATTTGATGCATTTGTCAGTCATTTCAGCTTCTTGTTGCTTCGAAATTTTTTTCTTGGATTCTAAAGGATTTAGCAT